AGCAAGATCTTCAAATCTTGGGATCGGTAAGCAAGATCTTATCGAGATCTTGGAAAGATAATTTGTATGCACATATCTTGGTTGTATCAGATAAATCTGTACTTAAGATCTTGGCAAGATCATGGAAAAAATATCGTGTACTATTATCTTTTGATAAGATCTTGAACGAAACAGAAAGCGACATCATTCGTGTATTTACATGCTCTTTAGTCATTCACCGTGTTTTTAAATGCATACACAGCTGTATATGAACAGCCTGATTGAACATACGAAACACAAATTTTCAAAACTTTTTTTTCTTAACTATTTCTCGATTATTCAAGAGAATGCTGATCTTGATCGATGTTCGAGAGAGGACTACTCTAATTGGTCCGACGGATATCGGACCAACCTATAGCCAGTCAGATCACAACATCTGACTTGCTGGATTTATTCGGGAGGAATAATTAAAATGAAAATAAATTGAAAATTTTTAAAGAATGCAACAGGTTTTATTTTATTGTGCATCCAAGATTTTATGGATTCTTATGTAAGATCTGAAATTAGATCTTGGGTACAAGATAACTGTATTATCTTGTACCTAAATTTTCAAGATCTGTTAACTTATCTGTACCTTGTATCTTGACCAAGATCTTGCTTACAAGATGTTTGTCTAGGGTATTCGTTTGAACGAAGCACACCTACATCAACCGTGACACGCCTAGTAACACTTAAAATCATGATTACATTATGTTTGCACTCCATATGACAGATTTAGTTTATACATACTTTGCGGAAACCTACATATTTTTGAGAACATCGAGTTCTCTATATCTCTCAAGATGACTCATTAGTTTAACGTACAAGAAATGTCGTGAAGTTACTTTATAAAAACCCTGTATTGTTGAGAAATGATAACAACAGATGAAAAATGGAGAGAACTGAAACATAAATTAAACGCGAAACAGTTCAATGAATCATGTATATTAGTATTATCATCTGTACCTTTTCGTTTAAGAAAATTTGTTAGTTTCTGACACGATGGACCAGTAAAAGTACTTGTTTTATACGTGAATTGCTCGTTGCTAGTTGACTGATCTTTATTAGAAATAAAATAATTTTGTAGTTCACGTGTATTTTTTCTAACACTATTAATGATTCTTCGTGATTTGGAAGTATTTCTAGTCAGTCGAAACTGTTTCTCTTTTTTTAAAGCCGAAGAACGTGCCATTGAAGATTTAAGGTAATAAATCTAAAAATAAAGAATTCATAATGCTATGCCAACGAGAGTGTGAGATGTGTAGCATATAACCCGATGTGTCTTGTTACTGAATGTTATCGAAATAAGCTCAATTTCGTTAAATTTACCTCAAGACCGATGTGTATCCACATATCAATCATGAACAGCAGCATAAAAATACATGTCTTACTCGAGAAATAAAAGAGCAATAGCAGGTCATAGGAAGTGAGCCTAACGCGTGAGCTAGAGTGGCGTAATTATCAACGTGTTATCATGTTCATAGTAGCGCACTTAAGTTTAAAAAATTAGGCTCACTTCAGTTGATCGCAATAGCACTTGGCCATGGTAGATGAAGTTAGCTGACTTCATTTGTAGCACGCTCTATGAGATATAACACGATACGTTGGAAATATTCCATTTTAAAATCAGTTTTTAAAGTTTTAAATGAAAAAAATAATTTCGAAAACTTCTTTAGCGTTTTTCTCAAAACACGGTTTTCAAATAGTAAAGCTGAAATAACTTCGGCTTCGCTCAAGCGTTGCCCGATGTTTTTTTTTATTTTAAAGGTCTCAATGGGACTTAACTTTTCATCGAACAGATTTTTCATACTAGATTCCTGGATTGAGAAAAGTTCAATTTACTGCGTCTTTTGTACCTAATTTTAGAGTCATACTGAATGAAATACTTATAAAAAATGAGTAGAAGCGAATTTCAAAATTCTGTTCGATGAAAAGTTGCATATGGAGGCTAGCTTTAATTTAAAACCGATCCGACCTCGATAGTTCTGATAGTTATGAAGTTATTTTGATTTTTTGTGGAAGCTATAAAATAAGTCGTAAGTCTAGTTTAGTAAGGTATACATGGCTGAAATTTTTACCACAAGCGTTTCTCACTAGGACTATTCATTCCTGAAAGTTTCAGCCCGAACGAATCGTTCCAAGTGGCAAGTCGATTCTGAGTGGGGAGGGGGCTTAAGAAAGTCTAAACCTTTAAATCAGAAAGAGCACCACTTTGTAGAAAACAAACAACATCTAGATTTGTAGCTATTGATACTTTATTAAAAAGTGAACTTCTGTTTGATTTTCGTCTGTATGAAGACTCGAATGTCATGCGTCTCTTTTTTTTGAAAAAGAAAGAGCAAAATAAATTGGCATTGTTAGTTTGATTTTTCGTCCTACTGTTTGCAATCAACGTAGTCACGCGGTGAATAAAATGACAAACGAAAAAATAAATTCTACTTCTTACATATGTTGCTGTTACTTAAAATTACGAATGAATCTCACTTTCATTTGAGATAAAATAGTCAATTGGCGAATTATAACATATGAAACAATTTATTTTGATTTTTCAATCAATGCAATCAATTCGATCCAAATTTATAATCAGAATTATGGAAGCAAATGTATGAAAAGATATATTGTTAAGATTTTCGCTGAATTTCACTCATTTTAAACGATGTCAATACAACACCCTTCTTTGAAACTCCCCATGTTGCGAATACCGGATCATTTTTTGCGGTAAACCGCGGTATTTATCCGTTCTGCGGTAATGGGAGCCGGTAACCGGATCGATAAAACCGCGGTTAACCGCCGATTTTCATGCGGTTTTTACTACATGGGTCACTACTAGTTGAATAACATAGACGATCAGTGAGAAATACGGATTAGATTTTCAATGTATAATACATTGTTAAAGAATGAATTAAATATATTATCAAATCAAGTTTTATACCTTACTACAGTAGTTGTATATTATCCAATTTATTTAAACTGAAACCAATCTATTTATAGGCCAGAGCGATGAACTAATACATGTATACAACAGAGAGATGGATATCATGAAACAAAGAGAGAGTGATACTTATCCTGAAGTAAAAAAATGCGGCACATAAGACCCAAACTAGTAAGAAATCTTTCTTCGTCGTTTTTTCTCTTGAAGGAGGCACGAAAAATTCTATTTTTTTCTTCGAATTTTTTTCAAAATGAAAATTCTGATGCGCTCAGATTACTAAGAATTTCATGGTGCATCTTTCTGCCAAGGCAGTTTTTTAATTATAATGCATTATATTCCTGAAATCACAGACAAGGTTTTAAAAAAATACTTTCTAGTTGCAAAAACGCACTCTAATGGAAAAATCATATTTTCTGTGAGTTTACTCCTGCAAGTATCGAACTGCCAAGACATCAAGTAGAAAGCTTTGCTTAAAATAATTTTCAAATAGTAGGCCGGCTAGGTGGCCCCTAGAGGGCACGTTCGCTTGCCGAAAACATTTCAGGGATGTACAGTTTCATTTTTTCTACAATTTGGTGCGAATAAATATATACCTATTGGGGGTGTATCTCCCCCTTAAAAAAAAATAAACTATATATTTCTCCTCTGTTTACAATGTTTGTTCATATATTAATCAATTACAATTTATTTTTATTTTTCATTTTAGATATAAAATAATGTTCCAGAATACTTATTTCATTTCTGATTATATGCGTTCCGAGAATATCCTTTATTTTTTGAATCTTAAGATTCAACAAATAAATATTGATATGAGTAATATCTGCGAAAGAAAATTTTATTGTAGTTGAGTTATAATTAAATAAAATTAAGAGATAAAAGAGAAAAAAAATCTCCTATCACCCCTATCACCCCTATAACTCCTGTACCCCCTAGACCCCCACCCCTTATACGCTGTATATCTCTATATCTGTTATATCTGCTAGGTTTGGTTCTCTAGCACTTAATTGAGTTTCCGGGGATATTCTCCGAACGCATCATATGGTGATCTCCACTGAACCTGCACGTGTTTTTAGTTAATATGATTGAATTTGACATAAAATCATCGAATAGTTCGAATCTTGGCAATTTAACCTTGTGATATTATAATCCTGGGAAATTATTTTGCGTTTTCTTCACTAAAGTAAAAAAAGTAACACAACACAATATGGGCCTTTGAGGGTAGCCTCTACGGGCTAATATGAGAGGATATTGCACGTGTCTTTTACCAGAAATCGAGCGTCTTCTCATAGACTAGATTTCGACTATTAAAAAATTTGATTACTCTCAGAACCGGAAATCTGTTAAGATATCAGATGCTCTATCTTAAACGCTAATATAGTGAGAAAATTTGCTACATATGTCCGGGTATTCTAAATGAGCTTCGTTATGTTGTACGCTACTACTTTACTTATAGAGATAGATTCGTACCATGTATAATGAAAAAAGAAGCGTCAGCGAACAAAGCCAATTAGATTAACATTCACTGGGAAAACATCATATAACCGGATACAACTTGTTCAACCTCCGTGAGAAATTCAATTGTATTCTCTCGACCGATCAGTCGGTTGATTTACATCTTTGTGAATCTTTTCTTGGCTAAGCCAAATTGTATTCATTGAGATCATCAGTACATTCATGTTTAGTAACACATTAATAATTGAACTTGTTTTTTTAGAATCATATTTATAGAAAGGAATTACTCTTTACTATTCATCGGGAAAAGATCGTAGATTCATAATTAATTAAAAACCATGAATAGGTGTAAGTTTGAAGAAAGAAAACTTATGTATTATTCTTGTCAAGAGTCACCTGCTGTTCGATATTCTGTACCGATTAAAAGCATTTAATCAGATTATAATTTCAAACTTCATTATTAAATAGAAAGAAAGATTGAAAAATCAAAAGTTTTTCGCATCTATTTTAATCGATATCTAGTCTCTTGTAGTCTTTAATCTATCCAATCTGATATCACAAAGAACTATATATTTCAATTTTTGTTTCGCTTACAATTTTTGAAAATGTTTTCTTAGGCACAATTACGAGCAATCATTTCTCGATCTTCGATAATCAATAGTACTAAATTTTTTAACGTTTTAAGCTTTAATATTCGAAAAATTTCTACTAGATCTCTCGAGTTCACTTTTAAGAATAAATCTCTACCCAACTACATACAGATGATTACATGCTCGATACAAGAATAAATAAAATCCATCAAATTGAATTGAATACGATTAGTTCTGCATTTGCTCAGTGCAACCGCTATTTTAGCTGATTTGCATAGATAATCATCGATTGGCTTAATACTTCCTTATGATGCATTAAAAAATCTGCTAAAGTAATAATTGAAGTATTTTAACAATGAACAAATGAATTTTGATTTGATGAAAGCAATTTTAATATTCATCTTAAATCCTCTCATAATGCAATAGCGGCTGTTTATTATCACACTGGTTATATTCCCGAACATTATATCAATGAAAAATGTTGGTACGTACGTGAACAAATTGAAAAATCACGTGCTGTTAAATGTCCAACAGTTCGATCACAATTAGCAGGTTGTAAAATTGTTCAAGAATATTTAACACATGAAAATATCATTGAAAAATATATTAATGATGAAAATTTGTCGAAAAATATACGTTCAACATTTGCATTAATAAAATAGAAATCTATGGAACAATGACTACACACGTTGATACGAACGAAGAATATATAAATGAAGTAACAGGCTATTCTGTTCTTGATTGTCTTGTTGTGAGTGAAAACAATAATGGATAATCGAAAATATTTTCTGAAAAGTTTTCATTTCGATTTTTTTTGTATTAAGAATATACATTCAAAACAAAATCACCTGCTATACAGGCTCGTTTATTATGATTTAAGCGATATTTTCATGATTCTTATTGACATTTAAGCGAATACATTGCAAGATGGCAACTGAAGATTTTCATGTCATGCGGACGCTTCGGAAGTCTTATTTTCAATCTGTCTCATATAGAGAAAGACATATTCCATTATTTACATGTTGCGGGGAAAAGAACTGTAAGAGTTGTAATAATAGATGTCATATGGAAAGCTCACAAAATAACAATTGCCCGTCAAATAAATCATTGCAAATAATTGACACTCTAGTTTTTTGATTATTTTATATATGAGGACATTGGCTTTCATACAAGTGCTTTTCGATGTTGGTTTATTGACTAGCTGAAATAATGAGTGTAACTAATAAGCGCACGAGCAATCATCTTCACATAAAATATGCCAAACCCTCTCGACATGCATTACAAGAAACAGTAATTAATCAATCAAGTGAATAATTCGGCATAAGCAACAAGATAATAGCTGCTATGGATAGAAAAATATTCTGCTATGTTGTTTTGACGTAGACAAGTCAAAGGCAACTTTAATAATAAAAAAGATTAAATTAGAATATATATCTTCCATCTGTTCTTTTAAGATTTTGTATTAGACGATATTTTTTGTTCGATACAATACAACGACAAATAAACAAATAGATCTCTATTTATTTCATTTCATTTTGCATGGGTTTAAATTGCATTGGTAGTGCTTTTTCAACAAAAAGAGCTGTTGTTAAATTATCGCCTTTCATTGAATAGATAACTTCAGCTATTTCATACATATTTCCACTGGTTATTAATATAATCAAAAATTTAAGTTCATAATTCATTGTATCTGTTACTTGAATATGATTTAATATATTAAATGTTTCACCAAAACGAATACAATCTTGAAAACGTTGTGGAGATGTTTCAAAGGGACGATCGGCTATTTTTTTTGTGAAAACACATCGAATTAATACATAAGCATTGGCATTTATTGGATTTTTAAATTTATTCATATGACGTAAATTTTGTACAGTCAATTTGACATTAGTCGCCAATAGGTTATATTGAAAACTAAAGTATAAAATAGGAGCAGTTATATGTTCATCATCGAAATCACCAGAAGCAAAGTTTGTATAGGCATAAGACGAAGTTGTTGACGATGAACCATAAGTGCGACGAGCTGATTCATTAGTATGAATTTGATTTTGAATACCATTGGATGGCAAACTTTCCGTGACGGTAAGAAAGTTTTTGCATGATACTGGTGGTGGTTCATTTGTTTTAGCACAAATGTCAGAATACGACGAATTAGGTGATAAAAGCGATGTTCTTGTTGATGGTGCTCGATAAAATGAGTATGACAGTTTCCGAACAGATTCTGATAACACCGGCCGAAGTACTTCAAAACGTCTAGACAGTAGCGGATCCCATATAAATTGTTTAAGAATGCATATTGTTATTACAACGGCAAAAGCAATCAGACATGACAATGCAACATATGCAGATTTATTGAAATACGTTGGTGCAGATGGTGTACTCATAATGAATCAAGAGAAGAAAACTGAAATTAAAAAAAATACTGATGAAAAACATTAGAAAATAACTCTATATGATAATCTCAAAGGAATCTTCAAATTCATTATACGAAGACTTATTTCAGAGTCACACAGGATTTATTAGTGGCGGATTTTGTTTATGTAAATACCTTAGAATCCTATGAGATAATATCCACATACTCAAAATAATTCTGCACAGACTTATTTTCTCTATTGAACGCGCGTACACTCATATTATTTGTTTAATATCGAGTATTTCACTCACCAAAGAAATATGCAGATAAGTTTAGCCAATAAAAACAACCACAATACTATAAATACACAGATATGATATTGATAGATGAAGGTAAAGCTGCATGAATGCTGAAAACTATTCTTCCGAAAAACGGATAGCCGACTCTAATATCTAATTTATCTTATTGCATTCAAATGTATTTTATCATTCGCCTGAAATATCCATCGTATGAAAATCATATTTGCAATCCCTTATTTTCTTCTCGTTTTTCTCATCTACGTCCTTAGGCGTGTACGCGTCACATTGTTTTCTTCTTTTTTTTGATGAGAACAAAAATTTGTTTTTAAGGCGGAACATAGAGCGGATAAAAAAAATGTGTGCTGCTACAACGCAGGAGCTTATATGTTAGCTAACATGAAATAGTTTCCTGATAAGAAAGACGAATATACATATAACGTTTGATAATTGCACACTCAATGCGCACGACTTTAACCCGTAATTGAGTTCGTGACGTTGTTCATACTCTTAACTAGACGTCAACTTTCAGTTTGTATAGCAAACGAATGCGGATTGAAGAATAATATACAGAACAGAAAAACCTGGAAGTTTAGATTTACCATGCGCATTCACTTTATTCCTTCAGACAGATAGGTTTCGACTGATGTTCAATATGTATATGTGGACTCGAGTGTTTTTTATTATTATTATATATAATAGTGAGCGAACGAAGACGAAGAATCGACAGATAAATATAATTAAGTTTGTCAAGTTTTTCTTTTCTATTCTATCACTCTACTCCCTCGTCGTTGTTCCGCTCTTCTTCTTCTATTCAATGCCAGACTGAGGACAAACCAAAAAAAAAACTAACGAATGAACTCGAAGAAATGAGTGAACACGAGTCTGAAGAATCAGTGGATAGAAAAAAAATCTGGTTTATTGCATCAATAGAAATGAGCTGTTTCTACGGTTCCAACTAATGCTCGTGTTGATGATCGAATTTATCTAATCCTATTATATAATGAATCATTGACATTCATAGTATAATATAACACAAGAATAGTACTAATCCCAAGAATCACCAAGAACATTATTTATATGTTTACTTCATAGGAACTTGTTCAACGCGAATATTTTTCTTCCAGTTACACAAATACAGACACGATCACAGAGTTCTTACGAATCGCACATACTTAACTCATAGAAGCAGTTATAATTATAAATTTATTTTTTTTGATTGTCGATGACGAATTTGATAAGCCTATAATCTTAATGGGAATCTAACGCTGTCAGACATACAATTATGAATCAATGTTTTACATGTTAGTCAAAATCAATTTTTTACCTAATCGCTGCGTCGGTGTGCAATCTATGGCACTGGCATTCAGTGAAGCGATGGGAAAAGAATTAAATTAGTTTGTTGACGCAAATCTCATGAAATATGAGCATGAGTTTGGTTAGAAAATATGTATTTTAATGGTTGTATTAAATTCCAAACATTCATCCGCACAATGTCGAGTTGTACACGTTGCTTTCGTAAGCGTAATAATTACAATCATTACGTATCGTAGAGAATAAAAACATTTTTTTTCAAACATGCAACTAAAAGCCTATTTGAAGATTATAACTAAGTGCAACCGGAACTATAATTGTTTATTTATAAAAATATTTACTATCATTTGTAGTAAGGCTTCGAGAAATTTTTAAATGATAAGTATCTGAAGAAGAATGGCAGCGTTCCCATGCAAAATTTCCACATAATTAAAGTACTACATAGAGCCAAGTCTATGTCATGTTAGAAATATTCAAGGAGATTTTTGAACGAAAAAGCTATTGAGTTGACTTTTTCGAACCTAAATATCACGATTTTCTATATTTTCAATGTCGGCGGATTCCATTCGAAGCCGCTTGAAATAAAACTGTAAACATAATTCAAATTTAAGACATTGAAAAAATCTATAGTAGAAAAAACAACATTTCCTGATTAATAATAATATCACGTGCAGTTCGTTCAACTTTAGATATAAAAACAAAACATGAAATTCCGACATGTGTTGAAGAATGTTCTCTAAGATATAGATATAAAACCTAGATTCCAATTATGCGAACCATTACACATATTAGTGTGAGCACGTTCTAGACATTGCTTGAAATAGAAGAGTGTTGAGTAGGATCTTTTTAATTTGAACGAGTGAATCAAACAAGCACGTCCACAAAAAATAAATACTCATAATATTCTCCTACATTTCAAGCGAGATAAGTCCGTCAGATCAAGTAGATTTCACTTCTGAAAAAGAACTGTTTTGAGCACATGATAATGAAGTGTAATTCAAAAAAAGAACACAAAATGATTCATTCTAACAGACCGTCTATGTTTTAACACAACCAATGCATTATGCATCGAACATCATCAGAAACAGATGCAAGTGATCGTTGCGAATTACTTGTTTCAAAGGCATCATTCAAGATTGGTGGTGTCTGTGTTACATCAGAAAAGAATATCTTTAAAATGAAATTAGATGAGAATTTCTTGTAAATGCAGCGATTGTAATCACTTATGATCTTATTCATTATATCAATTTAAAAGATTTTTTAGTGAATGCAGGCGAGCTAATTACTTTTTTTTATTTTAGAAAAAGCTTGCGGTTTCTAAAACAGATGTTGCGAATACAAATAGAATATTTTATTGTTACAAAAATCAGTTCTTCTGGTATTTATATTATTATTATTTTAGCAACCTGTTGATGCGATATTGCGTGCGAATTGTTTTAGATAATTGCCTGGTGGTGAATATTGAGCAACGACATACGCAGTACGTTGATCGCTACTGAACGCGAGTCCTATGCCAAATTTCGTTGTACCTTTCCATACAACTTGAGTGAAATGACCGGTCTCAGATGAAAATCCTGGCGAGCCAAAGTTATAATCTTGGACTTCATTATACCAGGCTGTTACCGGTTGGCTACCTTGAATCATATTCAATTTTCATAATGAATATATAAAATACTGTATAGTGTGTTACCGCTTAATGTTTTTAAAGCTTCCGAGCTACTCATTGAATAAAGATTTTCACCAAGGCCAGCGCTATTGCTGTGAACTAAGTGGCCAATTGTGGCAAGCTTTTCAGCATAAGTTTGAGCTGATTGACTAATACCATCGTCAAGAACAAGTGCCGGTGCACAGTGTTTTGCTCGATAACTATTGTGACTGACAAGAGCTTGTTGCTGGAATGTTTTTAGGTTTTCTCCTGAACTATCGGTGCCGTCCCTCTTAGATCTTGAACCTAAAATTAAATACTCTTTAATATTCGATAACTTTGTTTTCGTGTAAAAAATCTTTACCAATATTGTATGCTAAACCTGTCTGCAACAGAAGACTGTCAAAAAGAGCAAATAGAGTGATCAAATACCAACGCATGTTGCCAATTTTCTTCTCTAGATTGATATGAGAAGAGAGACGAAATGTGCGAGTATTTAAATGAATCACATACACAAGGCATTCCTGTTTTTTTTTATTCAATATGAGCCTAATTCATTTCATTTGCAAAATTTCTTTCTCATATTTTTCATTATGGCGCACATCATTAGTACTGCTCTGCTGAGCAAAAATGCAACGAAAACAATAATAGAGCAGTTTTTTAGAAGCTTTCTGAATGAAATCTATGCATATTCAATGAAGAAGAACATGCATATTTCAAGCATGTCAATGAACGAAATTAGAAAACATCTGGTTCGATGTACAAAAAGCACCCGATTCGATCTATTAGAATAGTTATTGTGAGAGTGCTTGATGCTTGGATAACTCTGAAAATCTGATTTGATTGAGTCGATTCAGTAGAATAAGAAATAAAGAGACCAATAATATCACTGACGTGTAAAAATTCAAAATAAGTGGAAACATACAAAAATAAAATTATTTTTTTCTCAAGAAATTTACATTGTTCTTGTATTATTCTTTTAATAATTTCTTTGCTGACCATTGCCGTCACATCCTACTTTTGATGCGCAGCACCAAACTCGTTTATGACTAACAAAAACCCCGTTTATTGCAAAAAATAGAAGATCGATCATCACAATATATGTTGTATTAGTAATTGAAAGTAGATAATTATAAAAAAAAAATGATTAAATGTAAGAGACAAAGAAAAAAACAGTAAAAATATTCGTTTGCTGAAATTAAAAAAAAGACACGATTCACAAAAATGCTAAGACATAAGTGTACGAATGAGTGTTAATTCACATCTACCTTATAAACGAAAGCGAGCACAGGATATCAACCGCTTGATAAAAATTGTAACATTCAGGCGCCATGATTTCAAAAAATAAGACAGATAGGTATTTTTTTAGATAATTATCAATAGAAACAATATAGATACCCGCAAGGTTCTCGTCATTCAAAAGAGAAACATATCAGCTAGAACTTCACGGCAAATTCAACAACTGTGAATTTTTCACTACCGAATTCATTATGAATATATGAGTCATTCTAATTAGCTTGCTGTTCTGACCCATACTGTAAGATGTTCGAGATTTTGAAACATTTACTCGAATGCCTTAAAACAGTTATTTAAACTGATCTGATCTGCAAAGCTATTGATTACCGAAGGTGATTTCAAGCTTAATGAAACATGTAATCACATTAATGTTTACAAAGTTTCTACTAAGAATGAACTGAATTCGAGAAATAGTTGAATTTGCTGCGCAGTTCTAGCTGACAGAGCTCTCTGTCGGCTGGCAAAAACTGTTGGCGCATATGGTATTCTCAGCAAAGTCTACCGGTAAAAATCCTGCTTGTCTTATTTTTTGAAACTGGGCTCGTAAACATGACAGCTTTCTATTCAATTTTACTTGCAATTCAATGATGTTTGTGCTCCTTTGAAAAGTAATTTAATTTGCTTGTTTTTGTTTATTATTTTGAAATCCAAGTTTATCTTTTTGTCCTAATTGAAGAGCTTCTTTCAAGCTCCCACAGCTGAAAAAATATGCCGCTGCATCGATATTGTTGTACTTGGAAATATCATATAACGGATGGAAGACGGCTTTCGTTTTTTTCTCTACTTCTTTCATACAGTGTACCAGATTCGGACCAAAATATTTTGATCTCTTCGCTAATTTTTCGTCGACCTCCTTTCGAAACATCTCATAATCGACTAATTTCAAATTAGGCACGAGCTTTTGTATTAGTTTCGGTAAATCAAATGGTTCTGGTATAAACGGGCTAAGTATATTCGGTACTGCATCAGGACTATTCAACGCTAACATATAATTATCCATTATCATATCAATGGGCGTGAGAAGCATTTTATATTGAAAAGCATACTCTAATGCTGCAAATATACGAGCCACACGCCAGAACATGTATGATTGACCAGGATCGAAACGACCAACAACATAGGCTGGCTCAAAAAGAACACCTTTCAAGCCTTGTGAAAATTTTTTGCTTAAGTAAGTATTCAACCATTTCTTGTATCCGAAATAGCCATTAATCCAATAGTAATCTTCTGCAGCATGCTTATGATCAAGCAGATAGTGTCCATAACTTCCAGTTGAAAGTAACTGTTTGGGATATTTAGAGTCCATACAGAACTCAGTCAACTGTTCCGTTATTTCCATCCATGGTTTAAAGAAATCGATCGGGACTCCATAGTTGGCTTCACATGCTAGATTATGAACGACTGTCACTGTTTTATTGTATGGTTCCAACGATTTTAATAATGAATTTCGATTTGCAACCAAATCAATTTTAATCGGCTCAATCTTCGATTTCAGATCGGATACATTCAGTTTCAGGTCATATTGTTTTGAACTTGATGCAAACGATTCCCAAAATAATTCAGGACTCTCTTTTCTGGTCGGACACAGAATTCGTTCAACATTTGCTTGGCGCAGCAGTTTAGATACTAAATGAGTGCCAATGTAGCCTGTAGAGCCAGTTAGAAGAATTGAGTGTTTCATCTAGAATGATTTATGAAAATTTAAAAATTGTTAAGTGAATTCATACCATCATTGCCAGAATTGATAAACAGACGTTTAACGGATTATTCATCTCAACTTACTTTACAAAAAATGAATTACTGAATCTTAATTTACAAATTTCTCAGTCTTATTTAGGTCTCACTTAAAATTCTAAGATAAATACATAAGTCGGGTGGTACGGACTTCCTATAAAACCATACTTCTCGCTATATATATATGTATATATGTGTGTGGCAGGCGAGTTTGGAATAGTTTTGTTCTTAATTCTATTAATAGAATTTTCGTTGAGATCTGACTTTAGAAATTTTTATACTGAGAATTATTCCTTGCATCTTTTTACAATGAGTTTTTAAATAATTCCACTCCGTCTATTTTTTTAACTATGGAGACATGGGGACATTTAATTTATCTGAGAAAAATACATTTTGTATTTTTATCTCTCAATGATAAATTCACTCTCTATGTATTTTTTATCTGTATGATTAATTCACTCTCTGTGTACTTTTTATCTGTCTGATTAGTTCACTCTCTGTGTATTTTTTAGAGTGATGTCATAATCCCGTTCCACCGGGTAACGACTTTTGTAGCCGGAACTGAGATACATTTCGATCCTAATCAATCGAAGAACTCTCACCCATTTCTCCCAGTGAAGTGACCTTCGCGGGAATGACTTCATTACCCTAACGATATAACTATATGTTAAAAGTTGAGGGATTTGAGTTGTTTTGGTGCAACGATGTTTAGGGTAGGCACTTTGTTATCCCAAAGGTCATTACACCAAAACAACTCAAATTCCTCAACTTTTAACACATAGTTACATCGTTGGGGTAATGAAGTCATTACCCGAGTGGTAGTATCGGAATATTTTGGGAGCATTCATTGATAACCGAGTGATATGTAGATATTGATGCACTTCATATGGTATAAGCTTAGGATACTATGATTTTCGATTCTCATTACCCAGTGTAATGGGATTATGACATCTATGATTTTTTATCTGTACCCAAGTCGAACATTCCGGCCACCGGATCTCGTAGGGGATACTCCAGGAAATATGCGGGAAAGTCGCCATATTCTGAGGAAAACACGAGAAATCGCTGGAACATGGAAGCAGTATTCCGGTCAAAAATATGGTCGGACTTTTCCGGTGGATTCCTGTCAAGTTCCAGTCCTTTTCGGCAGGAGTTGATCGGAAATCACCGGAAAATTTTCCAACCGGAATACTGCTGCCACAAAATCAACGGAACTACCCGGAACCGGCCATTTCCAGGCTGGACGCTTCGACCTGGGTATGATTAATTCACTCTCTGTGTATTTTTTTAAACTATGGGGACATTGAATTTATCTGAGAAGCATTTCTTCTCTACTCTGTTTTTTTATAATCTATTATCACGCACAGAAAAAAAAAGAAAAATATATATTTTCGATTAATTATGTTTTTCGCGCATTCCAATCTCAACTGAAATTCTCATGTCAACTGTGACATATATTCATAAGTGGTTGTATTTTAACCGTGTCTGCTTGAATACAAGCGTTTTTGCGAAATACTAAACCATTCATCTACATCATCATAATATGCAAACGGTGTAAAAATAAAAATAAAAAACAAGTCAACTAAATATGTTTACTACTGTTTGATTTCATACCATCAAATCTGTTTCAAAAAATTAAGAAAAAAGATAATAAAATGCAAGGCCATTTGGTCTTGGATTTGAAATTACGATACGATAAAATAAGCAGAGAAATGAATTGAAAAATGACACTAGTACTGTTGTATATGCTTACTATCTTGTGATACTAACTTATATCAACACTTAACCAGTCCCGATCTGTAAATCCTACATATGACAATCAATTATGGTAAGCATAATTGTAATGATTTCGGATAGACAGAGAAGGCGTGCGACGGTAGTCTACTTCAATGTGTTCTTCTATATCGTAGTATCGTATCGTTTACATGAAAATTAAACGTTTATATACACAATTAAGAGCCTTGAGAAAAGTGGCACGTAAATAGAGACGAAGCAGAGGTGAGAGAAAGAGAACGCATGCACTAGTGAGAATGTTCACGGAGAGTAAAAACGTTTACGCTGCATACTCACAACAGAAACAACGATAGAACATATGATATGTAAAGAAAATAATGCAAGGTGGAATATCATGCATGAAAAGTCAATTCAACCAAACAAGTAGAGTGGCGCTTAATTGACTCCATTGGAAATGTTACAATAATATACATATACTGATATCTGGGTGGTCTCTTCTGATTAGTTACTGTTTTTTAGTTCTGTTTTCTCTATCTTCAATTGAATAATATTAAATTCTTTTGTGTTCCTTTTGACATACTGTCAGCGGCGGCGGAGTCACTGAAACCCATGAGGCTTGAGTCTCACCGAAATCTCGCAAAATGAGGCTCAGCCTCATCTTGCTTTTGTACTGATTATTGCTAAATTTTATTCTTGCATTAAAGTAGGAGCAAAGAAAAGTATATTTTACCATTTTACAATCTTCTTTTTTATACTGACGATTTTCATTTTTACTGAAGTTCAATAAAAAGAAGACTTATTTTATGCTTAATGCTTTCATACAATTCCACGTTAGAAAAAAAATATGATGAGTCTCACCTAGCTTAATGGCGCTCCGTCACCCTTGCATACTGCTATAACTAACTCTTATTAGCACACATTTCGATTTCGGCAGCAAGTGCGTGCGTTAATATACTACACAAATTAATCAAAATTGTGTTGCGAAATGTTTAGAAGTGTGCGTTGCATCGAGAAAGGAAATTAGCATTTCTTGTCGCTTATAGATAATCGAGTGACATAAAACTTGCCAATATCATGCTGAACTCAAAGGAAGTCTATTTTAACCAAAGTCAGTGGAATCCAACAATTAGAATTTGTAATAGGTTTCTCAAGACTCGTCATACTAATTTCTCGGTCTATGTGAATACAATGGTGGAAGTCTCTAGCAGCTTTTATAATTTTTATTATAAAAGACAAAAGCTACCTTTCGCAATGGAATGCAATACTTTTGATAATACTGAATACAGCTTAATCTACCTTGTTCTTTTAACGGAAAATAAACTTGCTCACAAGAAAGAAATTGTATAAAATTGATTTTCTCTGTATCAACTATAAAGTTGACTGAGAGTCAACATTTGCTATCGTTACTTACCTGATTCTAATATTTACATTCTTCTTAATGTGTGAGGGACAATGAAGATAATTTTCCCATGCAAAAATCAGTCAATATAAACACACGAAGAAAAATGCAGACATATATATACAGAGAAAAGATCGGAAAGAAACACATTGGAGCTCAATTTAGTACCTACGCAAAAGCTAATTAACTTAACAGACCATAGAGAAAAATCATTCACCTCAATATCGAGCCTACACTGTGCGAATGAATGCAACAGAAAGCATAGGACGATACATGTATGAAGTTCATGTTGAATCTACACCTATATGTATCAATATACGGGGGGTTGGGGAGCCGCAAAATTCTGCCCCNCCCCCCCCATTGCAGACATTAAAAGCTAATTATTAATTAAAACAAAAAAATTTAGAAATGAAGGAAAAACGAAAAAATAGGAAAAATGCGAAGAAAACAAGGGCGCCAACCAAAATACAATAATCTTTTGAAAATGTAAAAATAAATGAGAGAGCTTTTGGTGTGATGATCAATTATTTTGAAAAGTCAGTAGTCTGAGAAATTTTTCATTTTACACATTTTTATTGGTTTGTCGAGGGATATACGTGAGTTCCACATTTTAGTCCCAATGGGGCTGCGCTCAATAGCTTTTTAAGCAAAATAATGATTTTTATAAAGTTTAACTGAACGACATCGGGGTCGAGGAAAAGGAATTTTTTATACTTTATTGAAGCTATATATTCAATTTTATACTAAAGAAAAAGCTTCTGATAGTTTGCCACAACTCGTATGTCGTTATAAAGTGCATTGTGATTAATGATGCGGTTAAATGATAGCAGTAGTCCGAAGTACAGTGCAGAATGACTGGTTTCTAATGTGACAAGAGTTTATTTTCATTTTTCTCGGAAATTAGCGGTGTTCACTTACAGCTTATTTATTTAAAATTAATAACTTACTTGGATGAAAATTCATCATCGCTATCAGCAAAATACATGACTTTAATAATATTACATAATAAATAAGAGAAGAACCTAGTGTTTTAGGTTAATACCTGTTCAGAAAAATCAAAATTCAAATACGGTTATAATCATAAACATGTATTTATTAGTGCAATTCGTAGATACTGAAACTCTTTAAAATGACTTGGGAGGGCAATCTATTTGTAGGAATAGAACATTCAGAAACTGCATTGGGTGGAAAATATTTCTTATGGATTTTAGATTTCATCCGTTTAATGGAAGTCTAAGATAAGTAGCATTATTAGTCAGGTTTGTAAGATGTCGACATCTGCCCTTGTATTTACTATTGCATTAGTATGGATTATTAAAATTTTAGTGAAGATAACCTCCGTTATTTGACAACAATCCTAGCTTTAATTTATCTCTGATAAAAAAAGGATATACAATCAAATGGTCAGAAATTACGATGAATACTCTTTTAGACATAGCTTTGTGCTATGGTTTTAATATTGCAAAGCCGAGATATGTTACGTCGTGTTTACTTTTGATTGATCTTTAAACATTTTGCTTTATAACATCTTTCATGCTAAAAATAAAATCTTTGTCTATTTGTTCGCATTCTCATGTGAAGAAAGCACGGTCGTAAACTGTAGGAACTGATAGCATACGCTAATATTTTCATTCATGTAAGATTGTTTTTGGCCATCACAATGTTCGACCTCAGTTGACGATGGATGAAGCATGAAAATTTCAAAGTAGTTCAGATAATTTACATATAAAATAATGCACCACAAACATACAAGCACATCGGGAACTACGAGTATCTAAAGGGATTATCAGGATTATGAATGGTTGGCAACAGTG